ACAGTTCTTTAATCCAAATTAATTTGATTTATACTTCCTTACATTGACATTTAAATTGTAGTTCTACATTCTGTTGGATACCTTATTTCAAAATCAGGTATTGATTTTGAATTTAAAAGGCATTTCCAACTCAGTTCTGAATGGCACACAACCCTAGACAATGCAACAATTTAAAGAGAGTCTTGATTAGCAAGTTTAAGTTAATTCAAATATAGACACATTTATAGATATTTACCTAAATAAAGACATATGCTTTAAAGACAGACATTTTATAATAACTTTGTCTCCTCCTTGAGTACTGAAGTTTGTTACTGCTATAGAAACGAATGCATGTTAAGTTGATACAACTTGGGATGTGTTTGCCAAATATTCACCTACACATTTGTATACTTGTATGTCAGTTAATTTTTTTATAATCATATACATGGCACCAGGTTTAATGTGAAGTTCAGGTTCGCCACTTCATAGAGGACTACAGGTCTCAATGGCTTGCTTAAGCTTTGAGTCAATAGCCACAGTTGGTAGAAATTTACCACACTCATCCGTGCACCAGCCCGAGTCAACAAGACAACCACAGCAGCAGGGCAGACGGCAGCGAATAAGCGAGGACGCACCATGAATTAAGACACGCACAATGGCAATGGAGGAAGTAGACGAGCGAAGAGGTGGCGTGTGCTTTGGATGGAGAGTTTGTTTGTTTGCTTGTTTGCATGAAGGTCGGTTTCTGCAGGGTAGAGGGATCCAGCGTCCTACTGTTATGTAATCTGATAGGAGATTCCAAGCTGGTCAACTCCATATGCAGTCCACGTTTGCCAAAAATATCTGGAGCCGGAGACTCCATCCCGTTTGGCAGCCAGATAAAGAGAGAGCGGGAGAGAGAGCGTTCCGGAAATATTTGCTGCAGATAATAGGAAACGTGTGAATCAGACCGACAGCCAGGAAAGAACAGGGATGAGTTAGTCGTGTCCCCCACTTTGCTCTCAGCATCGCCGTCGGGCCGTGTGTATGTTTGGTCGAGTCAACGAGGGCTGGGTTGAACTTTTCGGGCATGAATGAAAGTTGTATAAAGGAGACGTTGTGGAGTGAGTCACTGTATGCATGTATGGTGTGAAAGTAGAGAGATGGCTCCTGGGATTGTTTCAGCAATGCAGCACTCGCTGTTTGTGTATAAGAAAGAAAGAAAGAAAAGAAAGAGTAGGAAGCAAGAGCTCTCGAGACCCCCTTAGCCCTGCAGTAGGAGTGTGTGTGTGTGTGTGTGTGTGTGTGTGTGCACTCGGTTTTGGCCCACATTGCCACCCCCACCAGCACGGGTCAAGCTCAGCACGCTGCCGCTTCTCCCTGCTCTCCCTCTCTGAGTTGCCATGGCAACACACCTTGAGCTCACCCCCTAGAGGAGACCGGTTTAAAAATGATCTTGGCAGTGAGGTGACATCTTAAAAGAATAGTCTCTTTCCAAGTACAGACAACCCTGCAGCTATGGTCTGGCTGTCTTGGCGCTAGGGAGCAGATGGTGAAAAGACTGTATGAGGGTCTGGAAATCAGCAAGCATGAACTCGTGATGGGTGGAGAGAGAGAGAGAGCAAGATGGAAGGAGAGAGGCACTCTCATATAGATGGGCCCGTCCCAGAGGAACGGCACAGGCCAGGGCGCCACCTGGCTCCCCCTGGTCAATTAGCTGGAAGCACATTGGCCAAGCTTTGCAGCAGCAACTGCAGAGGCGCAGTGGCAAGGAGAGTCGGCCTGTTCAGTCGGTGGAATAACAACCTGGAATACCACATGAATAAGTCCTTTACTCATTTGCTTTCCACCTATCTGTTTGCGCGATCACTGTTTTCTTGATTCGATCCTCTTGCCGTTTCTCTCTCGCGCTTGCTCTCCGCCTCCCTCCCTCTATCGATGTCCTGGAAAGCTCTCATCAGTGATTCTGCGAATGTGTGGCGGCTTCATGCCGTTTCTCAATTAAGATGCTGCATACCTTTAGAGGCGGCCAGTTTTCTTTTTTTCTTCTTGTTCTTTCCCTCTCAATTCCTGTTAAATATTCTCTCAGACGCACATCCATGCCTCTAGCTGCTCTTATATCTCTATTTTCCCTCCTGTTCCTCCCTCCCTTCCTGCTGTACTTAGCACAGGCTCTAATAAGCAATGTATATAGGGTGAAAATCTTTTAGGAGAAAGGGTGGACGGCAGTTAAATCGTTTAACCCCTCTCATAATTAGATTTCAGATAAAGGGAATAAATCGGTTGCTTTCAATCAAGCTTTTTAAGTGGCAGCATGCAAACGGCACTGTGTACATATATACACACAACATGCCAAGCATCAATGCTTTCTGAGATGAAGGGAAGGAATTCTAAAATCTCTTCGGTTTGCCTTTCACGATGTGTCGCAGTGCTTGTAAAGTCCTTTTGTTCTTTTTTTAACCCCCAGTTAGTTTCAGTTATGAAAGAGCGTGTTGTTGTCATGCACTTCCTAGGCCCTCAGCGGCACTCTACACGTCTGTCTTCTCCTCTTTAGTGGTGTGATGGCTCCCCTAGCACACTGCAGTCCCCCTCTCTGAGACCTTTGTGTCAGCCTCACTGATCAAATGCTCTCCCTGACAGCACTAGTCTGGGTTGCAGTAACAAGCAACTGTAATCCCAACGTAGCCCCATCACTCTCTCATATAGAAACACACACACACACACACACAATGAAGTGGAGAGCTTATTGTTTCTATGCAGACTGGAAAATAGATGATGGGGCATGTTCTGTACTTACTGATCAACTGCAGTTCTCTCAGAGAGAGACTTACTTTTAGTGCACACACACACACACACATGTGGAAACACACATGCTCACAGGCCCCTTGGCTACCATTACTTTGTGTTGGACAGCCCAATTATCCCTTTGCTTTCTGCTTTCTTTAGCAGAATTCTCTTCCTCTAACTCTCTTTCTCTCATTTTCCCCAATTTTTCACTTTGGTCTCACTTTCTGTCCGTGTGCATATACTTTGGTCCATCCGTATCCACGGAATGGATGTAGTCTCATTTTTTTTCAGTGTAGATCCTCCCTCAGAAGGGCATTTGATATACTAAAACCAGTTATAACCTCTGTCTGTCGCCGCTTCCTCTCTCCCAGAAAGGAATCCTCTTACTTTACCTGTACTTGTGTCATTCTTCACAATTATTGGTTTTGGACTTGCTTTTCTCTGTGTGCGGTTCATTCCGTTCATCTGCATCCACAAAGATGCATTTACGTCAGTACTTTGAATATAACTGTATTTTGTACACTGGTAAAAAAAGAAATCACTTGTTTTAATACTTAAAACGTGGATAAACAAAATACACTTATATTCAAGATATATTCTCTCTTTATCTTACACAGTGGTGCTCCTCAAGTAAATGTCTTGTTTCAAGAGTTTTTACATATTTTAAGTGGAAAACAAGTCAAAAACCACTCATTAAACTCATTAAGCAGTGAGTTTTTTGCAGTGTGACTAGCTTTAGTATGTCAAATGTCTTTTGCAGAAAAATCTCCACTAGTTTTGAGATCCAAGTAAATCTTATCTAAAATGTTTTTAGATATTTTAACTGAAAAACATGTCAAAAATGCTTATAAAGAATATAAGTTTTTGCAGTGCATTCACTTTGGTCTTGCTTCCCTCTTTTCTCTATCTGTGTGCATAGTATTTGGCTCATTCATAGCCGTGCACTAGATCTCCTCTCATACAAAACATTCCCTTAACTACTGTTGTTCAGATTTTCCTCCAAAAGCATTTGACACACTAAACCTAGTCATAACCTCTGTCCGCTGCCGCTTTCATTCTCCCAGAAAATAATCAATTTTTCACTTGGTATTTCATCCCTATACTTGTGCGTTGCGTTCGTTCAGTCTGCATCCGCAAAACAGATCCTGTCTTGTATCTCGAGACGCTCTGGTCTCGTTCAAACCTCTGGCACACGAACTAGAGCAGATTTTCCTCCAAAAAGTCATTTGACATATTAAACTCAGTTGTAACCTCTGTCCGCCGCTGCTTTCATTCTCCCAGAAAGGAATCCTCAACCCCTCCCGAACGCAATGTCTTTTAGGAGGCAGTGGGGGAGGACAGACCAAAGCGGTGCCCTTGCCAACCCCCCCCCTTCACTCTCGCTGCCCCCTCCGCCTCTCCTCTCGCTCCTTTCAAACAGGGATTAGAGCACCCTTGTGTGGGCCTTTGAGACGGAGCGGAGATTGGAATCGGCGGAGGTGGCTTTTGGAAGGGAGTGGTGGGAGGTGTAGGTCAGGGTTATGGTGGGGATATATGATTGAAGACTTTATTAACCCTCCGTGCACCCCGTAGCTCAGCAGCGGGACTTTTCGGGCCTGTCTGCACGGGCTGGCGGGGTGCTGGACGCTTTGGGAAGACGGGGATCTGTGTCGGCGTCTACCGTAGCCCAGGGCTCAGTTAGGGGTTCAGGGGATCGGAGTGGGAGTCCGGCGGCGGGTGTCTGATGGAGCGCAGGCAGGCGGGCTGGGCTCAGGCCTGTGTGGCGGGGGGGTGATAAGACGAGAGCAGAGGCGTCCAGCCAGGACACGACGCCCACCTTTCATCTGTTCCACACCAGCAGGGGGCGGCACTGATGTCACTCAGGCAGGCTTAAAATAGAGCAGCGGGCAGAGGGAGGGCACAGAGCCTGCAGCACTGGGGGGGCAGCAGGCAATTACCGGCTGGGAAAGAGACGGCACTGGGCAGAGGAGGAGGGATGGGATGGGTGGTCATACTGTCCAGAGCTGAAGATTATAAGCCTGGGACCACAAATGATGTGCAAGGACTGCAAGAAACAGAAAAATGACCCCGTTTGCTCGAAAGATCTCAAAAAGACTTCGACCGCTTGCTTACGAGACGCCCTCGCAGACAGTTAATGTGTAAAAATGTCGTGCCTTGTCTTTTGGCAGTGTGTGTCTGTGTCTCTCTGTCTCGCATTCTCTCTGTCTGACCCTGCTGGTGTGTGTAACCTGTTGTATCGTGCTCTTGTGTTGCAGAGGAAGGCATCAATCATGAGTGCAAGCTGTGTAACCAGATGTTTGACTCTCCGGCCAAGCTCCTGTGTCACCTGATCGAGCACAGCTTCGAGGGCATGGGAGGCACCTTCAAGTGTCCCGTCTGCTTTACAGGTGAGGGGTCCGGCCCAGGGGGTTGGTGGGGTTGAGGTCGAAGGGTCAGGGGCAGTCAAAGAGTGTGGGGGAGGTGGGGGATACAAACTGCCAGTAATGAGAGGGTAACTGCACACAGTGTTCAGTCACATGGTCATGCATGTGGCCAACTGCAGTCAATTAAGCACCATTTAGCACATTCCCTCGTGGAGGATTACATGCAGAAGTGTCTTTTACTTTTTTGTCATCTCTTTGCTTCTTGTCTGTCTCTACTTGTTCTATCTCTTTTTCTTTTCATGCTGTCTTTCTGCTTCTCTTTTCACACCTCGTCTTGTCTCAGTCCCCATGTCAACTAGTTTTTCATCTCATCGTAACTGTTGTCTTCTTTTTTTTTGTCTCATTTCATTTTTTTGTAAATTTTATTTTTTTCTTCTCTTTTTCATCTCATTTAATTTTTTCCAGTTTTATACTTATTTGTTTTTATGTATTTTGATCTGATCTAACCTGTTTTCATGTCGTCTTGTCTCTTTGTGTCTTATTTCCTTTCTTTTAGTTTAATTTTATCTTGTTTCTTCTCTTCTCTTCTCCTCTTTTCTCTTCTTTACTTTTAGTCTTCCATTCTCTTCTTTGGACTTGTTTTCTCACCTCTTTTTTCTCGTTCTCTTTTTTTAGTTTTTTGTCTTATCTTCCTTTGTGATCACGTTTTCTCATCCGTTTTTCCTCATCTCATTTTTCTTCTTTTCTTTCGGCCTCATTTCTTTATTTTTAGTCTTTTCAGTTCCCTTCTTTTGGTTTTCTCATCTCATTTTGTCTCATCTATTACATTATTGTTTTCATGTTCTGTTTCATCCTGTCTCGTTTCTCTTATTTGTTAGTTTTCTCATCTCTTCTCACTCTTTTTCTCCCCTTCTGTCAATCTCATCCTCATCGCCACCACTCACCCCTCTCTCTCCCCTCCATTCCTCTGCTCCATTTCTCCTCCTTGTCCTGCTAATTGAACTGAATTAACTATTAAATTCATTGTTAATCCTGGTGAGAGAGAAGAAAGACCAGGCATGGACTCACTTTGAGAACACGGATCAACTTATGGCTTCTGAAATGCATATAAGATCAAAATATACACATATACTGTACATATATGTAACTACATTACATTATGTAAATCAAGATCAGTTTCACTAGACCTGAGATAGAAGAGAGATATTATGACACTCTTAATGCAAAAGCACACAATGGTTAATTAAGTTCAACGTCGCCAAGACAGGAGGCTGCGGTTCATGCAGATGACCTGCTGAGCTGATGCTAAAGCTAATGAGAGCTGATCTCCCCACTGCAATGCCTGATGGGACTCATGACCCCTGGGCAGATCGAGCCCCTGTCAGACGTTCCACTTTCAGTGGACCAGAAGCCACCTCAGTAGAATAGACAAACAAGAGCCCAAATCAAATCATAATGGCCATTTTGTACGCTGTAAAGTATCGCATACAAACTATACTAGCTTTTTCTGTAGGCCAGTTGAGGGCAGGTTTATAGAAAGGCAGTGTAATCCGCTCTCGCTCTCCAGGGTAGAACCCTCCGTGTACGTGTGCATTTAGTTAAACAGGCCTAATGTGTGTGTGTCTCCTCACACTAAGTTTGAAAGTCACTTTGGACTGTTTGGCAGCTAACCTTTGGGAATCAGAAATCATTACTTGAGCTTGTCAACATTAAAGACTGGTGTTGGAGGCCATATTGTCCCCAGAACTGCAACACGCCATTCTCCAGATAATTTCGCCCTGGTTTTTAATTCGATTCAACTTTTTCTTCCCTCACCCATTCTTTGTTACTCCTCTCCCAGTTCCAGCTCCTTCCATATTCACTGTACACTCCCTTTTGCTTCTCTATTCGTCCTTCCCTCCATCCCTCTGATCAAATCATTTGTTCTTTTGCCTTGTCCGTCCCTTTGTCTCCCTCTCTCTCTTCCTCCTTGCGGATTAGTTCTCCGTCTTTCTTTCACCTTTACCGAGTTGTTTGGATACACCACGTTCTCGTCCCCCTTTCCTCCCTTACAGGTACGCAGTCCTCTTTTAAACTTTAACACTATTCCTGTGTGGCTCATGAATAAGTAAGCGGATGCCTTCTCCTCCAGGGACGCTCAATAATTCATAGTCTCCACACACAGCAAACTTAAGTTTACTGAAACAAAAAAAAATAATACACGAACGGAATTTAAAAACCCGAGGAAAGAGGAATGATTTATTGATAAATATCACAAGGTCTGGTGGGGATACTTTAGTCTGTTTCTGTCTCTCCCTCCATCTCCGGCTGTCATCCCCTGCTCTCCGATAAAGAGAGTTTGAGAGCTTTTCATTTGAGAACACCCCCTCCCCCTTCCTCTTTCCTCAGTTCCGACACATTGTCTCAAATCCCAAAAATTCATTATTTTTATTCTCCCTCTCCTACCCAAAGCGTGAAAGTTGGTAGTCATGGATTCTTCCTTTTTTTTTCTTTTTTTTTATTCCTCACTCAGGATTAGTTCTTAAATCGAATCAGCTATTTTCACAGCCAATTCACTGTACACTCTTGGGTAAAGCGTTTCGGCCAATCGTTTGACTGCTGTTTCCCTTCTGTCCTTTTCCCCCCAGTGTTTGTTCAGGCCAATAAGCTGCAGCAGCACATCTTTGCCGTCCACGGACAGGAGGACAAGATATACGACTGCTCCCAGTGTCCACAGAAGTTCTTCTTCCAAACTGAGCTCCAGGTGAGTAATGCAGAAGCACATGGCAGTGCAACAAAAGCAGGTGAACATTCATGATTTTTGGAATAAGTCCAAAATTCACTTTTACAAGACCTGCCAATGGTGGTTGAGGATATTTAATATGTGTTAACGGCGGTGAATTTTTTTTTTTTTCCAAAATATTGCTCTTACAATTCAGTGTAAACACAGTTCCTAATACATTTACACAGGAGTTACTCTTTGCTTTACAAAGGCAATTTGTACTTGCATTTGGCACAAGAAGTGATAAGAAAAACATGAATCTAGAACAACCACTGTATGTAGGAAGTCTGTTGGACCAGAATGATCAGAATTAAGTATTCCAGAAAGCCATGTAAGAACTTCCGATGTTCATATTTTAATATTTCCTGATCATTTTTTATGTGTCATATGTGCAATGAATCTCCTTGTAGTAGCAAAAGTATGTCTGCTTTGTGATGTTTGGAATATAGTAGGATTCTGTAGTCGATCTCAGTTAGCCCTGATAGACACAGAAGTGACACAGATCACAGCAAATAAGGGAATTAAAGGAGAAAACAAGGTGCATCCTCAAGCCAGTAACGATTAGACCCATTACTCTGCAAATCAATCACACCACCTGCTGTGACTGCTGGAACTCACATTCATCCACACACACACATGCGCGTGCATCGTCAGGGCAGACAACTGGGAATGCTGTCCCGGGCCCACTCTCACTCACATTTGCAATGCATATACAAAAGCAGATTGCCATTCATAGACATTGTGTACCTACACACACACACACACACACACACACACACACACTAGTAAAGTGCTTCTCAGCTCGAAACTCTGGATTTGGGGAGAAAAATAATTAATTTAAACTTTTTTCTAGTATTTTCTATCCTGTATAAGTTTAATTATGAATAATTAATATATTTATTAATATAATAAATTTTGCATATTTTTGGGCTAATACCCTACATAATATGAAATATTAACACATTTATTATTTTTATTTTAAAGGCATTTTGTTTACTTTTACTACATTTTCTTAATTTAAATGAACTCTTTTGGTACTGTGTCTGTCACATCCAGTGTAAAATCAAACGAAACCAGTTGAGAACCACTGCACCTAAACGTTATATATTCTGTATATATACTGTATGAAGGAATGTACACTAATCACAGTTCAGATGGCCTTGAGCAGTTAGAGATACCGTACAGACAACTGTATGCCCTACAGGTTCACACTCAAGTTCACAGCACAATCTGATGTCTGACAGCTCATCAAAAGCCGTTTGCCTACTGTAACAATAACACACTTTGTCCACTTGACATTATTTCTTTCCGGATGAGTCTTTGTTTCTTTCTTTCTCTCTTTCCCTCTTCCATTCTCTTTCTTTTTGTCTTTGTATCTGTGTCTCTTTCTGTCTGTTCTACTGTGATAGATATAGTCTCGCTCTCTCTTTTACTGAAGCCTTTATCTTAGTTCCCTGAGGGAGGCCCTGAACCCCTCCACTCAGAGACTGACACACTCACACACATATAGACTTTAGCGAGTAAGCGCTGCCACACTCTGTGCACTTTTTGCTATAACTTTCCTTTATGACGCTGTGGCACCCAAAGTCCTTTTCCTTTTGACATGACTGTATACCTTGATGTGCGTTTTCACTGACAGCGATTTATTCCTGTTCAACTTTGTCAAACTGGCGATGTTAGCTATTGCTATTACGTAGCCTCAAATCACCTCTTTTTAAAAAGAATTTACTTCTGGTCAGTTTGTCAATGCTAATCACTGTCAGTGTAAACACACTTTAAGAAATCTGTCATTTTTTGATGCATTTAAATACTCCTTATTGACGTTCTTTTGAACCACAGTGTAGTTTTGTTCTTTGTTGGGCAGGAGTTTTGTGTCTTCATTGCCCAACCAAAAGATGTTTTTGTATAGAAATACAGACATTCTAGTGGCTGTGGTTTGGTTTTAAGCACCTCTGGATGTTCCTGACCCGTGGTAATGATTCCCAGCGGATGCATGGCAGAGCAGTGAGACACAACTGCTGACTCAAGTTTAGCTGGAGATATCACAGAGCTGTGAGGTGAAAAATAGTATCAATTTAAGCACCAACTCAAATGCAGACATCTCAGCCAAGCCTAAGGGCCAGGCAGAATTTAAATCTCTCACACACACATTCTTCCCACGCAGTCCCTTCTAAAGGACTAGAACTAAATGTACTGGTTAAAAAGTTACTGCTAACTGGTTGATTCTCCTTTAGGGACTTGTCTGTAGTGGTGGGACCTTACACTCCGATAGTATCAGCACTGGATTCAGGATTGTCGAAGGATTTTATGGCCATTTTTGGAGTTTTTCTTGATTGTTCTTGAATTGGAGTATTGAGTATTGAAGTGGACCAAATATAATGGTTTAAGAATCGTAATTTTGATATGCTCAATTAACAAAATTGTGACCCTTATGAGCACTCTCTTTAGATTGCAATAAGGTGCAGACATATTTACAGTTGCTGTGAGATATTTCTTGGCCAAAATCCTGTCACTTCTGTTGGAATCTGTGGATAGAGATTGTTGTAGGAGTCTAGCAGTTTGTGCATGTTTCATGAAATCTGACCCAAACCTAACCCAAAGCTTGACAGTTTTCCATGTCCCGTCAGAGTAGCAGACCTCTAGATGTGTGTTTGAATCTGACTCGCATTCAACATTTCCTAATCCCATTTCTCCCCTTAAGTGACAAATAGTCCAGATATAAAATGCAAAATGTGTCCACTAAGAACTTAACAATAATCTTAATGTACTGTTGCTAGGTCAGTGCCAGTATATGAAGGCGATTGTTTCTCTCTCGGTTTCTCTCTCTCTCTGTGCTGATTATGGGGCAGACAGATTGAGTAGGGGCAGGACTGTGAATAACTCAGCCCACAGTGGCTGCCACGGGCCGCTGGGGTCAGCTGCATCCTGCCCTAGCCCAAGTTACATTCATCTTTGTGAGCTATGGGCCACCATCCCTGCAGCCCCCTCCAGCGCCCGCCTGTGTGTGTTGGTGGGTGGGTCTTTATAAGTAGCAGGGTGTGAGGTTAATAGCTTACTCAGGTCCATGACTTAATATTTTAGGGGCTTGTGGGGTGTGACCTAAATCTCCTGCATGGTTCAAACACCCCACCCCTCCACGTGAGCCCCCGGACGCGGTGTGACAGTGATATAAGGCCGGCGGTGCTGGGCATATGGCCGGTCAGTCCATTTAGCAGCAGGGGGAGTGCTGGACCCTGTCGGTCACTGTCTGCCTCACCCTGAGGCCGGCCAACCGAGATACTCGCACCAGCCCATGGCTCAGCGGGCCCACCGCATCACTCCCACCCGCTCCGTCCCCCGCATCCACTCCGGGCCCACCTGAGCGGTGACGGAGGTGAGGAATAGAGCAGTCAGCCGCACGGACAGCTCCGTGTCAGGTTTTACCCCACTCCTGCCTAGGTAAAATGAGACTTGAACATGTGTGTATGCTGTTAACAAGACTGAATGGATGGACTGGCATGGCCTACGTGCCCTACCCAGCATGCCCTCCTAGTGCGGCCCCACTCTGTGTTAATCCTCATCTTCCCATGAGCCTTCACAAGACATGTTACTGTATCATCCCCCTCTCCCTTATGGCAAACTTTGCTTCCATCCTTTATCTTGTCTCTAATTCTTTCTTTCGTTCACACTCCCACCAACTCCCTCCCTTCCTCTAACTGTTTCCAACTCTCTCGCGCTCTCTCTCTCTCTCTCTCTCTCTCTCTCTCTCTCTCTCATTCTTTCTCCCTTTCCCATTTTCTTTTTTCTGGCTCCCAGAAGAGCCAGCCCCCATGCATATTTTAGCCCCTCTATATTGCCCCCACCCCTCTCTCGCTGTCTCCCTCTTTCCTTTCTGCCTCTCCCTGGTGCCCCATAAATAGTGCAGATGTAAGCTGGTAAATAAGTGATGCTTCGCCCCGATCAGCGCAGCTAGACCTACTCTGCTGGATCCTCCACTCCTTTGTTAGAAACTTCAGAGACTTTTTGTGAGTGAGTGAGTGTGTGTGTAGATTTTCTTTCAGTTGTTATTTTGTTCCCCAGGTGAACTCCCAACCGCCCACCCTTCGGCCCTTCCATAGGCACTGCTGTCACTCTCTGACAGCGCGCCTCATTTTTACACACTGCCTGTTCTGATTGAGCCCTCCAGGGGGCGCCACATTCCCCCCACGTCCTGTATCCCTTCCCCGCTGGCATGTGTGTGCGCACCTGGGTGTATGGTGTTTCCTTTAGTGTTGGTTAATATTTAACCGTACTCAGCAGTTTGGATGGATGGGTGAGTGAATGTGTGAGTGTGTGTGTGTGTGTGTGAATGAGAGAAG